TCCAACTAGTTGCAGCCCGTTTAGTGTCGTGGTTAAGTGCGCGGATTCTAATCTGCGAGAACTGGGTTTGATTCCCCACTCCTCCACTTGCACCTGGCTGGATGACCTTGGGCAAGACGTAGTTCAGATAAGAGCTGTCCTTGAAAAAGAGCAGTTTCTGTCAGAGCTCTCTCAGCCCCGCCCACCTCACAGGGTGTCTGTTGTGGGGAGGGGAAGGGAAAGGAGTTTGTAGCAGTGTGCAGGTACGCTCCGAAGGAGACGGGAATGAATGGCACAAGGAGAAGGAAGAAGCATCTACAGGGCCTGTGCCTGGGAGAGCAGCCCCGCCTCCCTTAGGCTGGGCTAGCACCCTGCCAATCATGGCCCCAGTTTTAGGGACTCTCGAGGCTTGCCCAGAGAGCCCAACCTACTGGCCTCTTGACACGGCTCTTGAGACGGTACACCCCCCCCCCAAAGCCTCTAACCACCGCAGGAGGTGGTTACACCTGGTGAACTGTTACCGAGGATGTTGAATGCCATGGAGATGCTGGCGTGGAACGCCTCTTGCACTTGAGAAGCGGCTTCGTTAAAGGACTTCTGCTGCTCTAGGCTGCCCTGCACAGGAGACAAGAGTGGGCAGAAAGCAACAGTCAGTACAGGCTGCTGAACTTCCCTGTGCACTATCTTTATCATCACAGCAAAAGGCTGTTCGAGGAATCCGTTTCCCTTTTTCTCCTGGGCAAGAGTGCTTTAGAAGGGCTAAAACTGACAGAGGTGCTTCCGTTGGGACAGACAGCACAGCCCAGGGAGAGAGACCAGCCTCTGGGCCACAAAGAGCACGGCGGAATCCACGCTAGCGCCAAACAGATTGAGGCTAGACGCTATCCAGACAAACACTGCTCTTAAATTCCTTTGTAATTTGCTGACAACAAGGTATGGTTTCCTGTAAGATAAGATCACGATACTTCCTGTCCTTTTTTCTCAAACCAGACCAGACGCTGTGCAGCTGGTGTTGACCGGTTACACTGCTCTACATGTGGTGAAGCAGAGCCCCTTGTTAGCTGGACAGTCACACGCTCCGTCACGGGAGAGCGATTCCTCAGGTAAAGAAAGAGGAAGGGCCAGGCCCACGACCTAGAGCATTGTGGCCTCTGGATCAATCCACAGGAAAGAAAAGCAGGGAGTGGAGGTGGCAACATACAAGCCCATCCGTTCTGCACTTCTGTGAGCTGATTTGCTTGTCGCTTCTGCCCTCTGATTTTTCTGGCCCTGATATATTGGTGTGTGTGTGTGTGTGTGTCCCTGATATCTTGGGGTGTGTGTGTGTGTGTGGTTACAGAATCAGAGGTCACAGTTTGCTACAGCTCGCCTTTGTACAGTCTCACATCCCATTCTCTTCCCTTCTGCTGATACTTAGTTGATGAGCATTAAGGCAGGGGCTGTCTTTTCTACTCTCAAGGGAGCACTCTACACGCTACACATTCAGTAAGGGCCGACAGTTCTCCCTTTTCAGTCTAGACAACACAAAGTAAGGACATAAGGAGAGCCCTCCTGGATCAGACCAGTGAGGGTCCCTCTAGTCCAGCGTCCTGTCTCATACAATTGCCAAACAATTCCTCCGGAGGGCCAACAGCAGGGCATAGAGGCTGAGGGCTTCCCCTGATGTTGCCTCCTGGCTCTGGGATTTCAGAGGCTGAGTGGTTCTCTTAAGTCACCGTGGCTAGTAGCCACCGATAGAACTCTCCTCCATGAATCTACTAAGTTAAGGGAGAGGAAGGGAGTTGACAGTTTCTCTGAAATCACTCTACGTGCCCATTTGGGACAATTTATGAATGGACAGATCAGTTTTGGCACACCCTGCTTGTCCTGAACTCTGCTGGCGCAGCGATTTCCCAAAGCCGCTGCAAAGCCTTGAGAATCACGTCCAAGGTTGGGGCGGATGGAGTCGCTTCCTGAACGGCAGCCTCATTACCGTCTTTTTGAAAGCTGCCGGCTAGAGCGCGGCCGTGGCTCCCACCCTGCCACTGAGAGGTGTCAGCTGCGGTTGCACAAGGCTCTCAAGCTAAACAGCACGGGCAGATGTCATGGTAGGGCTGCCTGCCAGAGAGAGGCCTGGTTGACAAGAAATGTGTCACCAAAGCATCCCGTGTGCCAGCTCCAAAGGGATGGGCCCCAACTTGAAACAGGCAGCAGTAATCTAGACCACAACAGACTGCCAAGTTCAAAACAGCCGAGGCGGCTGGCCGCTTGTCCCTTGAACTGGGGATATCAATCCATCTCGTGGCCAAAGGTCACTTAGGAAAGCCTCAGTTTTTTTAGGGTAGGAAACCCACATGTAGCTTCATGACCTGCTTGTAAACTCCCAAGCAAACTGCAGTGTAGCTCAGGGAAGTTATTTCCTGGTTCTAGTAGTAGTAGTAGTAGTAGGAGAGGAAAAGGAAGGGGCATTGTTTTGCATGTGATTGAGTGCCTGGGTGCATTTGAATAGCTGCTGCCAGCACTCTGCTGGGGGAGGCCTCTATTTAAGGAAACACCTGGCCAGAGGCAGAGGAGACCCAGCTGAGCTCTGAGCAGGAGCAGGAGCAGGAGACAGAGGGGTGAGTGGTTTTTTATTTGCTTTCAGCGGAGAGGATCCAGCTGAGGATTTTGGTGGGAGAACTGGTCTGGGAGTGTGTGGAAGCGCTTGGAGTTTTTGCAGATTCCTGGCTGCTTGAGAGAGGAAAGGGCATTGTTTGACTGTGATTGACTGCAATTGAGAGGAAAAGGAAGGGGCATTGTTTTGCATGTGATTGAGTGCCTGGGTGCATTTGAATAGCTGCTGCCAGCACTCTGCTGGGGGAGGCCTCTATTTAAGGAAACACCTGGCCAGAGGCAGAGGAGACCCAGCTGAGCTCTGAGCAGGAGCAGGAGCAGGAGACAGAGGGGTGAGTGGTTTTTTATTTGCTTTCAGCGGAGAGGATCCAGCTGAGGATTTTGGTGGGAGAACTGGTCTGGGAGTGTGTGGAAGCGCTTGGAGTTTTTGCAGATTCCTGGCTGCTTGAGAGAGGAAAGGGCATTGTTTGACTGTGATTGACTGCAATTGAGAGGAAAAGGAAGGGGCATTGTTTTGCATGTGATTGAGTGCCTGGGTGCATTTGAATAGCTGCTGCCAGCACTCTGCTGGGGGAGGCCTCTATTTAAGGAAACACCTGGCCAGAGGCAGAGGAGACCCAGCTGAGCTCTGAGCAGGAGCAGGAGCAGGAGACAGAGGGGTGAGTGGTTTTTTATTTGCTTTCAGCGGAGAGGATCCAGCTGAGGATTTTGGTGGGAGAACTGGTCTGGGAGTGTGTGGAAGCGCTTGGAGTTTTTGCAGATTCCTGGCTGCTTGAGAGAGGAAAGGGCATTGTTTGACTGTGATTGACTGCAATTGAGAGGAAAAGGAAGGGGCATTGTTTTGCATGTGATTGAGTGCCTGGGTGCATTTGAATAGCTGCTGCCAGCACTCTGCTGGGGGAGGCCTCTATTTAAGGAAGCACCTTGCCAGAGGCACGAGCCTCTGGCACGAGCCGAAGGGCGAGCTAAAGGGCTCTTTGCCCGTGGCTCTTAGCCCAGGGACTCTTGGACTAGGGGCTCTGTGAGACGCCCAAGAAGAGGCAGAAAGTGAAAACCCTAGGCTCCTTGTTTTCCCCATAAAGTAATTTGACTTTGACAAGAAAAAAACACATAAATACAAAGGGATTTAAAAGGGGGATTACATTTACTTATTTTAAAAGAATTATGAAGCCAGAATGCCAGCAGGGGGTTGGGGGCTATCCAGTGTTTTGCACAGAGTGTCACATGTATGACTATCTGCCCACTGGGCAGAAGTCTTGGGTGTGTGCTCGGTGCAAGGAGCTCCTGGTTCTCAGGGAACGTGTGTGCTCCCTTGAGGCCAAGGTGGCTGACCTGGAGAAGCAGAGACAGTCAGCTAGGCGCACAGAAAAGACTCTCGGGGACTTGTTAGCTACGTCCCACTCTGGATCTGGCAGCCCCGCTGCTGTCAGGGAGCATGAGGGTCTAGGGGAAACAGGGCACCGTGCTGAGGATAAGGGGAATGTGCCCTCAGAAGGGACCTCTTCCCCAGCTGGTGAGCGGTTATCCTTTTGCACCAAGGAACCATCCCTGGGCAGGGTGGGAGGGGGGCTCTTGGTAGTGGGTGATTCGATCCTTAGGCAGGTAGACAGCTGGGTGGCGAACCCGCGTACTGACCGTATGGTGACTTGCCTGCCTGGTGCAAAGGTAGCGGACATTACGCGTGTTTTAGATAGGCTGGTAGATAGTGCTGGGGAGGAGCCAGTGGTCGTGGTGCATGTCGGCACCAACGATGTGGGGAAATGCAGTCGTGAGGTCCTGGAGGAGAAATTTAGGCTGCTGGGCAGGAAACTCAAGGCCAGGACCTCCAAGGTAGCCTTCTCAGAAGTGCTACCTGTTCCACGCGCAGGGCCGGAGAGACAGGCACAGATCAGGAGTCTCAATGCGTGGATGAGACGATGGTGTAGAGGGGAAGGGTTCAGGTTTGTTAGGCACTGGGATTCTTTTTGGAACAAGAGGGAGCTGTACAGGCGAGACGGTCTCCACTTGTCCCGAGAAGGAACCAGGCTGCTGGCGCTTAAAATCAAAAAGGTGGCAGAGCAGTTTTTAAACTGAATATTGGGGGAAAGCCGACAGGAGATGAAAAGTCTCTGGTTCGGGTTGGCTCATCTCAGAGAGATGAGGGGGTACCTGTTGCTTTTCTACAGGGAGGTGGATTGAAATTGTCCACTGAGACCATGGCTAGTGACATGGACTGCCTGACAAGGTCTCGAGATTGCAAGAGGAAGGTGGCAGGCTTAACCAGTATGGGAAATTACAGCTGTTTCTATACAAATGCTCGAAGTGTCCGAGGTAAAATCGGGGAGTTGGAGTGCTTGGTGTCAGAGGGAAAAATAGACATTGTGGGTATTTCAGAAACTTGGTGGGATGAGGAAAATCAGTGGGATACGGTGATTCCCGGTTATATATTATATCGGAAGGATAGGGGGGGAAGGGTTGGAGGTGGGGTGGCTCTGTATGTCAGAGAGGGTATAAAGTCCAGAAAGATCGAGAGGCTAAGAGAATTGGATTCGCTTCTTGAAGTTCTGTGGGTTGAAATAGGGGGGCCAAAAGGAAACTTAACACTGGGAGTTTGTTATCGCCCACCGGATCAAAAGATAGAGGAGGATTATAAAATGATGAATGAATTAAAGATAGCAGCTAGACAAAAACACTGTGTCGTAATAGGTGATTTTAACTACCCACACATTGATTGGGTCAATATGTGTTCTAGTCGAGAGAAAGAGATTGAGTTTCTAGACACTCTAAATGACTGTGCTATGGAGCAGATGGTCATGGAACCTACCAGGGGAGAGGCGATCCTTGATTTGGTCCTAAGTAACACTCAAGACCTGGTGAGAGATGTAAAAGTGATTGCACCGCTTGGGAACAGTGATCATAATGTTGTTGAGTTCAACATTTGTACAAATAGGGAATTGGCCAAAAAGACTCACACAACCACTTTTAACTTTAAAAGGGGTAATTTTTCTGATATGAGGGGACATGTGGGGAGGAAACTGAAGGGAAAAGTAGAAAGGGTCAAAACCATTGGGGAAGCTTGGAAACTGTTTAAAACTACAATTCTAGAAGCTCAAATAAAATATATTCCGCAGGTTAGGAAAGGCACAAACAGGTATAAGAAAAAGCCTACATGGTTAACAAACAAAGTAATGGAAGCTGTAAAAGGTAAAAAGGATTCCTTTAAGCGGTGGAAAGCTAGTCACAGTGAGGCTGATAAAACAGAACACAGGCTATGGCAAATAAAATGCAAGTCTGTGGTCAGGCATGCAAAAAGGGAATATGAGGAGCATATAGCAAAAAATGTAAAGACCAACAATAAAACTTTCTTCAAATACATTAGAAACAGGAAACCAGCCAGGGAGGCAGTGGGGCCCTTGGATGACCAAGGGGTAAAAGGAGTACTGAAGGATGATAGGGAAATGGCTGAGAAGCTAAATGCATTTTTTGCCTCCGTCTTCACTGTGGAAGATGAGAGGTGCTTGCCCACTCCAGAGCCGCTGAGTTCGGGAGGGGTGTTGAAAGACCTGAGTCAGATTGAGGTGACGAGAGAGGAGGTCCTAAAACTGATAAACAACTTAAAAACTGATAAATCACCAGGCCCAGATGGCATACATCCAAGAGTTCTGAAAGAACTCAATTGTGAACTTGTGGATCTCCTGACAAAAATATGTAATCTCTCCTTAAAATCAGCCTCCATTCCTGAGGACTGGAAGGTAGCTAATGTCACTCCCATCTTTAAAAAGGGTTCCAGAGGAGATCCGGGAAATTACAGGCCAGTCAGTCTGACGTCGATACCGGGTAAATTGGTGGAAACCATTATTAAGGAAAGAATTAGTAGGCACATAGATGAACAAAACCTATTGAGGCAGACTCAACATGGGTTCTGTAAGGGAAGATCTTGTCTCACTAACCTGTTAATGTTCTTTGAGGGGGTGAACAAACATGTGGACAAGGGGGATCCAATAGATATTGTTTACCTTGACTTCCAGAAAGCTTTTGATAAAGTTCCTCATCAAAGGCTCCTAAGCAAGCTCAAAAATCATGGGATAAAAGGACAAGTCCTTTTATGGATCAAAAACTGGCTAATTAATAGAAAACAGAGAGTGAGTATAAATGGGCAGTTCTCCCAGTGGAGGGGTGTAAGCAGTGGGGTACCACAGGGATCAGTACTTGGTCCACTGCTTTTTAACTTGTTCATTAATGATTTGGAGTTGGGAGTAAGCAGTGAAGTGGCTAAATTTGCGGATGATACAAAGTTGTTCGGGGTGGTGAAAACCAGTGAGGATTGTGAGGCACTCCAAGGGGATCTGTCAAGGATGGGCGAGTGGGCGTCAACATGGCAAATGGGGTTCAATGTGGCCAAGTGCAAGGTGATGCACATTGGAGCCAAAAATCCTAACTATAAATACACGTTGATGGGGTCTGAACTGGCAGAGACTGATCAAGAGAGAGATCTTGGAGTTGTAGTAGATAACTCACTGAAAATGTCGAGACAGTGTGTGACTGCAATAAAGAAGGCCAATGCTATGCTGGGGATTATTAGGAAGGGTATTGTAAACAGATCAGCCAATATCATAATGCCGCTATATAAATCAATGGTGCGACCTCATCTGGAATACTGTGTGCAATTCTGGTCACCACACCTTAAAAAGGATATTATAGCTTTGGAAAAAGTGCAGAAAAGGGCAACTCGAATGATAAAGGGGTTGGAACACTTTCCCTATGAGGAACGGTTAAGGCGCTTAGGGCTCTTTAGCTTGGAGAAACGACGACTGAGGGGTGACATGATTGAGGTTTATAAGATTATGCATGGGAAAGAGCAGGTAGAGAAAGAGGTACTTTTCTCCCTTTCTCACAATACAAGAACTCGTGGGCACTCCATGAAATTGCTGAGCAGTTGGGTTAGAATGGATAAAAGGAAGTACTTCTTCACCCAAAGAGTGAATAACACACACTGCCACAGGAGGTGGTGGCGGCTACAAGCATGGACGGCTTCAAAAGGGAATTAGATAAGCATATGGAGCAGAGGTCCATCAGTGGCTATTAGCCACAAGGTATAGATAGGGGCTCTGGGGCAAGTGATGCTCTGTCATCTTGGTGCTTGGGGGCGGTCAACAGTGGGAGGGCTTCTAATGTCCTGGCCCCACTGGTGGACCTCCTGATGGCACTGGTATTTCTGGCCACTGTGAGATACAGAGTGTTAGACTGGATGGGCCTTTGGCCTGATCCAACATTGGCATCTCTTATGTTCTTATGTTCACAGTGACTAACCAAAGGTTGCACCCCACCAGTGTTCACTATGAAAAAAACTGATTCTATTCCAATTACAGTCCACAAACCTGCTTCTTCTTTTATTCCTTTACTTTGCGTCATGCGGTGGTGCTGCTGCTTCCAGACAATTGCCATGCGACAACGGATTTCCTAGGTACATACTCTGTTTCCCCCACTGCTTTGTCAGGTCGCTTTTTTATACGTGGAGCCGATGCTCTCAGCCTGCTCAGGGTTAATCTTGTGTTTTCCTTCGGCATCATTAACTCTGAGCAGGAGGCTTACAGCATTGGCTCCATGTATAAAAAAGCGACCTGACGAAGCAGTGGGGGAAACGGAGTATGTACCTAGGAAATCCGTTGCCGCATGGCAATTGTCTGGAAGCAGCTGCAGCAGCAGCACTGCATGACGCAAAATAAAAGAACAAAAGAAGAAGCAAGCTTGTGGACTGTAACTGGAGATTTGATTGGCTGTGTCTATCTTTAAAAACTTTGCTTTGGCAGCAGCTGCCACCACAACACACGGATTTTCACTGTGTTCCTGAAGGTAAGCCGCAGCAGCCATTTTGCGGTGGGCTCCGCCTTCTGTGGGAGCCGATTTGTGGCTCTGCCTACCATGCCGTGTCAGAATCCCAAAGGTGCCTGTGGCCTGAAAAAGGCTGGGGGCTCCTACATTAGGTCTTCCTAGGCCCTTGGCCGGTCATGCCCAAGATGGGGATCTCTCGTGGCGCTCTCGCTTGCTCATTTCAGGCAGATGCACTCATTTCCATCGCTCACAGTGCGGCCACCTGAAGGCAGGGATTCCTAGACGTTGTGGCTGCCCTTAACTCCTGCAGAGTGGCTGCACGAACACTATAGAGAGGCCACGCTGTACCAATTTGTCGCGAGCAGCATCAGAGGGGGGTACTTTTCCAAATTCCAAAGCTCCTCTCTCTTATCCATTAGCCAACACCCCAGAGACTCTTGCTGGAGCAAAAGACCCCTCGGAAGGGAAGAGACAGTACCTGTGAATGCTGCGAGACTGAGGCTGGTTCGGGGCTGGGGCTGGACAGGGAGTCTCCTGCAAGACAAAGGAAGGCCGTAAAGGACAGGATCTCGACACAGAGGACTGCTTTGACCCCCCCCCCCGCTCCCCCACTGCAGCAACAGCCTTAAGTTCTGCCATTTCTTGCAGTTTTGATTGCCCATTGTATTCCCAGCCTAGGTCAAAATTTTTATCTGGTATTTTACCAGTTTTACGCTTTTATTCAGTCCCAGAGAAGATTATATTTTTGCTAGCCGATGCCAATGCCGATGTATCCAATAGAATGGCTCTATTTGCCTTGGCTGCAAGGAAAATATGGGCCAATACTTAGCTAATACTGATTTTAGTGGGTATGTTGTGAATTAATTGTTTATAACCTCGGTTTTATGGATTTATAATGTTTTAGACTGTATCTTATTTTATACAATTTTCTATGTTTTATTGCGTTCTTCTCTGTTTGTGGTTTGTAATGGCCTATGGCTAAATACAATAAAAACCTTCTCTCTCTTGCAGTTTGGCAGCTCTCATCCTGTCCCCATGTTTTAGCTGCTTCCTTCGCATTTATCGTCCTGACCAGTGTTCCCTCTAAGCTGAGTTAGTGTGAGCTAGCTCAGTTTTTCAGCCTCCGGCTCACACATTTCTGTCTTCGCTCAGGAAGGACGGGGCTCCAGAGGGCTCCAGAGGCAAACTAATTTGTGCAGCAGCCAAACGGCTAGCTCACAACTTTTAACGCTAGTAGCTCACAAAGTAGAATTTTTGCTCACAAGGCTCCACCGCTTAGAGCACACTGGTCCTGACCATGAATGAGAATTCTCTCGGTAACTAACCTGACCAGAGCAGCCCGCTGTACAACACGGGGAGCCAACTTGTGGTACAGATGCCAAAGTCGGGACAGGGAGCAAGATTCTGTGGCGCTCCCAGACAATGGCAGGGCATCCTAAGAGGAGAGCCTGGCTGCAGCACACACACTCCTGTCTGCCTCCCCAGGACTGTACTGCTGCCTGTGTCCTGACCCAGCACGCTGAAGCCAAGGTACAGCAGGGACCATGTGGTGCACATTAGAGCGGCACATTTGTACACTCTGAGGGACACTGGTACAGATGCCGGGACAGGGAGCAAGACTCTGTGGCGCTCCCAGACAACGGCAGGGCATCCTGAGAGGAGAGCCTGGCTGCAGCACACACACTCCTGTCTGCCTCCCCAGGACTGTACGGCTGCCTGTGTACTGAAGCCAAGGTACAGCAGGCTGAAGCCAAGCTACAGCATGTACTGAAGCCAAGGTACAGCACGCTGAAGCCAAGCTACAGCAGGGACCATGTGGTGCACATTCGAGCGGCACATTTGTACACTCTGAGGGACAGAGCAGTTCAGTGGTCCAACAGGTGGTTTTCATTCAGAAAGTCCCAGGTTACAGCTCTGGGTCTCTGGCTGCAGGAGCAGGAAAGACCTCTACAGAGATCCTTTGACGTTTGCTGTTGGTCAAAGCAGACAGGGTTGGATGAGATGGACCAATGGTCTAACTCGGTACAAGACAGCGCCATAGTTTCATGCACTGGGACTTACGGCTCACTTACACCGGTGGTTTTGTCCAGCTACAAGAGACAGCAACAGGGCTGCTCCCATCCTCTAGTTTAACGGGCCAAATACCTGTTGCTAAGGTTATACGCACTTCAAATACATTTCAAGATCTATTTCTGTAACCCAGGAAGTCCACCATTTCCCCCCGTTTCAATGGCGGCCATTTTGGTTCAAAGCAGACAGGGTTGGATGAGATGGACCAATGGTCTAACTCGGTACAAGACAGCGCCATAGTTTCATGCACTGGGACTTACGGCTCACTTACACCGGTGGTTTTGTCCAGCTACAAGAGACAGCAACAGGGCTGCTCCCATCTTCTAGTTTAACGGGCCAAATACCTGTTGCTAACCCAGGAAGTCCACCATTTCCCCCCCCGTTTCAATGGCGGCCATTTTGGTTAGTGATGGTTCACTGACGTGCACACGGCACATCCACTTCCTGCAAAAAACTGTCCCACGCCCTCGTCTCTTTTGCCATTCGAGGACCGGCCCTTCTCTTCACTTTCAACCAGGCTCTCTTCTGAAGGATTGCTAAAAGGAGGGTGACGTTTTACTTTAAACACGCTTTCCCTTCCTCGGCGGCCTCCTGAGGAAACCAGTTCCCTTTTGTAGGAGAAGGTGCCCAAGTGGAATGAAACAGGATTGGGTGAAACAGCAAGAGTGCCAAATAATGTCACTTATTCCAATGTGACTTCTCAGACAGATGTGCTCCATAGAGCAAACCATGCCAGATTCACAATGGCTTCCTGCCCTGGAAAGGCAGGACTGTGGGACTTAACGCCCCCTGCCCCCTGATGCTTCTTGTGTTGCATGTTTGGTTCCCATGCATCAATACCGATACCTCCTTCTGATGGCACAAAGTCTTCTTCGGACTGTGAGGCTTTGCTAGGAGACTGATTCTCTGGGGCACGCTCAGTGTCTGCTCCCAGAAAGAAGTGTGGCTTCTTCCCGCTGCTGAAGTGTGCAGCTGCAGCTGCAGGAGGGACTGAAAGGGGGAAAAGAACATATTAACAGCTGATAGGAGATACGTCAAAGAACAAGCAGTTACACTGAACTCTACCTGGAAGCTCAAATGACTCAACTGAGGCCGTCGTACTTTGGTCACATTACGAGAAGTCAAGAGTCACTGGGAAAGACAATAATGCCAGGGAAAGGTGAAGGCAGCAGGGGGAAAAAAGGAAGACCCAACGTGAGATGGATCGACTCCGTCAAGGAAGCTGCAGCCCTCAGCTCGGAAGACTTGAGCAGGGGTGTTAACGACAGGACATTTTGGAAGTCATGAATTCATAGTGTCATCATAAGTCAGGAGCAACCAAGTGGCCTTTAACAGTTGCACAATTACACTGGGGAATTCCCTGCCAGTGGAGGCAGCGATGGCCGAGAGCAGAGATGGCTCCCAAAAGGGTGGGGATAGACAAATTCATAGAGGAGAGGTCCATCGATGGCTACTGGCCGTGGTGAGTCAAGGGGACCTCCATATACGGAGGCAGCAAACTTCTGAATCCCAGTGCTGGGCTGCAGTGGCAAGGAAGGGCCTCGTTTGTTCAGCCCTCCAGGGCAACTGATGGGCTGCTGCATGAAACCGGATACTACATGGACCACTGGTCTGATCCAGCAGGGCTCTTCTTTACCTCCTTTTGTCTGGACCTCCTGCCTTACAGTGCTATCTCCAAACATGTTTCTCTGTCCCACATCAAGGGAAGAAGGGACTGGGAACCCCGACTTCCCTGCAACAGTTCTGCTCCTAGGCTAGAGCTATAAGCAGTACGGTCTTTCCGAGGCAGGAAGCTCTAGCCTCAGGTGTGGCTGATACACCTACCCGAGTGCTGATGCAGGGGCAACACCGCAAGGTGACCCTCCAACTGGCAAAGTCTGGCACGTTTTCCACATGGGTGCAAAGAATTTAGCCATCGGACCTGCTTGGCCAACTCCAGAGCAAGAACAGCCAAGATGCTCTGGCAAAGGAGAGAAGAAGAAGAGATTGGATTTATACCCCGCCCTTCACTACCCAAAGGTGTCTCAGAGCAGCTTACAAACTCCTCTCCCTTCCCCTCCCCACAACAGACACCCTGTGAGGTAGGCGGGGCTGAGAGAGCTCTGACAGAAACTGCTCTTTTTTTCAAGAACAGCTCTTATCAGAACTACGGCTTGCCCAAGGTCATCCAGCCAGGCGCAAGTGGAGGAGTGGGGAATCAAACCCGGTTCTCCCAGATTAGAGTCCGCGCACTTAACCACTACACCAAACTGAAGATTGTTAGAGTGACCTTGGGGGAACCTTTAAAACATATTCACTCCTTCAACAGAGCATCACTATCCCCCCCGCTTCTGTCTGCAAAATGTCTTCTACCCTAAAGCTGTTGCGCGTCAGCTTACCCAGGTGAAAGCATCCAAAGAGGTGCAGTGACGCAAAAGGTTCCCGCATCCATGTTCACGCTGCTGACGGTCACCCCTGCCATGCCAACGCCAGGAAGGAGAAGGAAGAAGAGACAAAGAAATCACATGAAAAGGGAGATGATAAACTTTCATCCAGCCTCCACTTGAACCTGGGGAGCCAGTCAGGGCGTGGACTGCTGCAATAAGTTCAGCCATGTTCAGACTGGCCCGAGAACTGCTACCAAGACAACAACCTGTGACAGACAGTTCCCCCCAGGGGCTCAGATATCACATCCACATTCGTCAATGTTTCCAAAGTATCTAAGCAAGACTACACTTCGAGCACTTCGGTCGGGGGCACAACACCGCCTAGTGACCCCGGGACCTAAAGAGGCCAGGCTTGCTGCCACAAGGGCCAGGTCCTTTTTGGTGGCGGCTCCTACCTGGTGGAATGAGCTCCTGGAGATCAGGGCCCTGCAGGACCTTTTACAGTTCCACAGGGCCTGCAAGATGGAGCTCTTCCGCCAGGCTTTTGAGTAGGAGCCGCCGCCGCCACTATTACCACCATCGTGTACTGCAGAGCAGTGCTGTCAGGGTGGGCTGATTAGCCAACTGGGACATCTCGGCCTATGGCACCCCCCCTTTCTGTTGACTTCACGGTTATATAATAATGAGTGAGTATTGTAACTACCGATGCATCTTGTAAGATTGAACTGTGTTTTAAGTGGCTAATTGTGTAATTTTATCGCACTTTGCGTGCCTAAATTGTTTTAATGTGTTATATTTTATTGCACTGTTGTGCCTGTGTAAGCCGCCCTGAGCCTGCATGCGGGGAGGGTGGGGTATAAATAAAATAAATAAATAAATGCTTACTGCGCTCTCCCACCCTAATTCCCCAAACAGAAAATATTTCTTGATTTTGTGCATCTCCCTTTCCGGATCCCTGTCCCCGGGAAAAGTCTACATTCCTTCCAACTGTCTTGATTTTAAGGCAACAGCTTAAACTCCCCCCCCTCCCCAATGCATTGTGTACTTGCGGAAGGTAAGAGCTAAAGCACACGGATCCCAGAAGAGTCCCTTTCGCTTCTATTGTTTGGAGTTTTGGACGCCTCCAGCAATCACAGTTTGGAGTAAGGCTAATACTCATGCAGTGAAGTTGGGCTCTTCTTATATTACCACCATTTGCATGTGGAGAATGTTGCCTTGACTCACTCAATCCTAGAGCAAATGTAGAGTCCAGAGGCACCTTTAAGGCCAACGAAGTTTTATCCAAGGTATGAGCTTTCGTGTGCAGGCACACTTTTCCAAATACATTGGAATGGAAGGGTAAGGTTCAAATATATAGAAAGGGGGTGAAGAGCAAATTAACATGTAACACGATGAAGATGTTTTAAGATAGTAAAGGTAAAGGTCTCCCTTGCTCGAAAGCCAGTCGAGTCCGACTCTAGGGTTGCGGTGCTCATCTCCGTTTCAAAGCCGAAGAGCCAGCGCTGTCCGAAGACGTTTCCGTGGTCATGTGGCCGGCATGACTAAACACCAAGGCGCACGGAACGCTGTTACCTTCCCACCGAAGCGGTCCCTATTTATCTACTTGCAATTTCTTGCTTTCGAACTGCTAGGTTGGCAGGAGCTGGAACTAGAGACGGGAGCTCACTCTGTCATGCGGCACACTCGGGTCACGAGCTGCTGAACTACCGACCTTCCACAGCCTGCAGTTCAGCGTCTTAACCACTTGAGCCACCGCAGCTCCTATTTTAATTTATTTTAAGATACCCGGACACAAAACTAAATACCAAGCTAAGGTCATAAGGTCAACAGTTGTAAAGAAATAAATATGTCAAAATAAGACTGAGACTCTCCATTCCATGTTACATTCTATGTTGACATGTTAATTTGTTGCTCAACCCCTGTCTATATGTTTGAAACTGACCTCCCATTCTATTGTATTTGGAAAAGTGTGCATGCACATGAACGCTCATACCTTGAATAAAACTTGGTTGGTCTTAAAGGTGCCGCTGGACTCTACATTTGTTCTACTGCTTCAGACCAACATGGCTGACCACCTGGATCTATCTTCAATCCTACAGAATCATTTTTTAAAAAAATTATAATTCCTAGTTATAAAATCAATTTTAAAAAATTGGAGCAGACAGGGCAAATCTACAGATGACTCTTTACATTGAAATATGTCGCATTCTCGTGGATAAAGGTACTTACAAAATACTCGGGTATTTAGATTCAGCAAGATTTATACTCTTGCTCTTCTCCCCAGTGGAGACTCAAAGCGGCCTAGATTGTTCCCCTCTTAATGTGGTTGGTTGAATATGGACATAAGGAAATGAAGACTGAGGAAGAGCAAGACATTCCCCTCCACATTGTCTCTTTCCTAGCTAGGCATAATCTCTTCTCAGAATGGATTTAGTTTCATCTCTTAACAGTCTGCCTCAAGTTACCTCAGTAAAATGAGGAGAATGGCAGGAAAATGTTATTTAAACGTATTTGGTTAAGTAAATGCCCAAGAGTCTAAGCAAAGACATTATTTGGAGAGAGAGTGATAAAAGTCTCTAATATCAAAACGTATTACCAGGTAGTGAATTTACGAGACATCAAACAATCAGCTGACTCCTGAAAAACAATAAATGTTCTTCCCTCCTGGTCCCTTTGCACTTCCTAAGCTACACAAAACTCAGGTATCTGCTCTTGATTTACTGAAGCTCTGCACTGATTCTAGGCGTGTTCCGCTTAACTGAGTAATCGGCGTTTTATAGCTTGCTCCGTCATCTCTCTCTGACAATTTTCTATTACTTGTAATGTTATTTTACAGGTTTGAAAGTAGCATTAATAAAGCCTTTAAAGGGCGATTCTTTTGGCCTCAGTTCATCAGTGTGCCAACTGGCCATGCAGACTAAGCCTCCGCTGGTCAATTACAGGCCATGCCAGTCATATGTTCCCTCTAAGCTGTGGAGTCTTGTGAGCAAAAAAATCTACTTTGTGAGCTACTGGCATTAAAGTTGTGAGCAAGTGATTTGGCTACTGCATAAATTAGTTTGTTTGGAGCCATCCCTCCTGAGCTGAGACAAAAATCTGTGAGTCAGAGGCTAAAAAACTGTGAGCTAGCTCACACTAACTCAGCTTAGAGGGAACACTGGCCATAGGTGTCTCTGGGGTTGTCACAGGAAGAGCCCCCCCTCCCCCCGGGTAACCATCCAACTCTGAAATCCTGGTAGTGTGACAGGAACTACATTTGGAGCAAGGAGTGCTAACCCCAGACCGAGGCCCACGCTCCTGATGCCTTTCTCGGTGCTCAGACTCCTGGGCAAGACATGGCTAGGGCCACTTCACGTATCACATTTTCCTGTACTTCTAAGATTGCAAAGTACGAATGTGGCAGACAGGTGCTGGAGAACACTGGTACATTGGTCAGGGAGGCAGGAGAGGCTACATGTACTTTCTGGATGTGGATCTGGGGCAAGTTCAGTTAATGCACATAAAAGCCGTCCATGAGCCCGAGAGTTTCCAAAGGATTTGGCTCTGGAACGCCAGCATGACCCGACAAGCTTCTGCTTGGTGGTGAGGAGGAGGAAGAGGAGTACAGATGACGGGCAGTGCCATTCTTCTTGGAGGAAAGCTGCCAGCTTCAAAAGAAGCAGCACAACAAGGTGAAAGACCTTGGCTGTTCCTCCAGAAGAGGAGGAGGAGATTGGATCTATACCCCCACCCTTCACTACCTAAAGGAGTCTCAGAGCAGCTTACAATCCCTTTCCCTTCCCCACAACAGGCACCCTGTGAGGTAGGTGGGGCTGAGAGAGCTCTTTCGAGAACTGCCCTTGAGGGAACAGCTCCGAGAGAACTTGTGACTGACCCAAGGTCACACCAGCAGCTGCATGTGGAGGAGTGGGGCATCAAAACCGGTCCTCCCAGATTAGAGTCCGCGCTCCTAACCACTACACCAAACTGGCTCTAAGCCAAGTGCAGAGGACGGCAGACCAGGGCTGCATCCACACCGTGCTGGCCATTGCACTGCCACGACACCACAGCAATCATTTGCAACTGGACTGGCTTGTCTACACACAAGATACACCATCTGATTAACAGTTGCTTTAGTGCAACAAGACCACAGTATACAATGATGTGTGGACACAGCCCCAAAGAGATGAACGGAGCACTGACAAGACATTTCAGAGGTGCTCCCTCAACAAGATGATAAGAGGCCCTTGAAGATGTGAAAAGAATGCATTCCTTCCTGTAACTACACTAATGAAGTATTACGTAAGGGTAGGGATCATTTCCTGCAGGAGCGCACAGGAGCGGAGCTCTGGCAGTAAAGAGCCCAGGGGGCGGGCACATGCAACAAGCCCCACCCCCTGCTCCCAGCAGCCCTCAGTC